GCCAGTGTGAAGCATTTAGTGGGTGCCGGATATAACCGGCGCTAGTCGCGAAAGAGTTAAGGCACTGTGTTCAGTTAACAATAGTACAAATTTTATTTACATAATTTACAATACTTGTTAAATAATATCTTTTGAATAAAATAATGCCTGATTTTAACGTTACTTTAACCGTTTGAGTGCCAAGCGGCGCGATCGCGCTTCTTCTATCCTGTCCTAAAAGCGCCAGCGCTCTAGGCTGCGAAGCCCATAATCACAGAGGGGTCGATTTTTTTCTATGCACGACTTTACGGTTACCCTCGAGTCTTAAGTGAAAAAAGATAAAATTAATATTAATATTTATTACATGTAAGCTGAGAACAGCGCAATCGCGCTCTTTGGCATTTTTGGACGCGGAATATGACGAGCGCTATCGCGCCGCTTGGCAATTTTCGATCGGGAAATAAGAAAGGCTCGTGGCACTCAAACGGTTAAAATCGGATAACAAAGGATCGATATATTTCTGATAAACAGCGAATTACACAAACAGCATGCACAGCTCTTTTCTATCAAAAAAACTGACCAAACTCCAATTATCAATAATGCAACAAAAGTACTTCTGCAGTATATCAAGATTTCCCTGGATTTCCCGCATCTCTCCCGAATTCTACTGTCGCAAACAAAAAATGAAGAGTAACATAATTATTCATAAGAGCAAAATAATCATTCACATCACATTTAATCACATTTTCACCCAAAATTTCTCTACGACGTAAGAAGCTATTCAATAAGCATAACTCTTCCCAAAATCTACCCCCTATCTCGACACTCGTCCCTGACGTCATTACCATTCTGTTTTTCAGGACGAGGATTACGGTAGCTACAAGTGCGTCGCGAAAAACCCACGTGGAGAGACCGATGGCACCATTCGCCTGTACAGTAAGTGTCGTTTGTTTACTCGCACTTTAAAATAAAAGAGAGAGAAAAACGTTTCCCGCGGAAACGTTTGCTGAGCTAATGACGGATCGTCGCGACGGGTACACCAGTGGTTCGCAAACGAGACACATCTTTTAAGCTCCTCGTTTCGAGAATTTTTCGGCTGTTTGCATTACGCCGCGCACGCGCCACGAATGGTCCTGATTAAGTATTACTCCTTTTTTTTCCCCTACCCTCCTTCTCTCTCTCTCTCTCTCTCATCAAGCGTTTTCTAATTTCTCTCGTTTCGTTAATTAACGCGCGCTCGCCCGTAACACGCCGCTGTATTTTTAATATTTTCCCCATTGTACGCAGGCTGCAATTTGTCCGGAAACGGGATAATAAAGTAGAAATTTGTATTTGCCCGAATTTGACGGCTTTGAAGTATAAAATGTCTCCGTGCGTTTGTTGACAGAAATGGTATGACAAACGTGGTAATTTTGAGTATTGTGAGTGGCTCGTTGCTAGTAGTGAATTAGCATATAAGACACATTGTGGAGAAATAAAGTACTGAAAATTTTCATTTTTTTCGAGAGAATTAGAGTAGGTTAGTAGTATTATTAAAGAAAATTGTGTGAAACGAATTTAGTTGAATATTATTGAAACAGTGGTGGGTTTTTTTTAAAGAGCATTTAACACCATTTGTTTCTAAAATTATGTGAATTTTATCGAAACAGTGAAAACAATGACGCACTTTAATTATGAGCATTTAAAGCTATTTATTTCTAATATTATTTAAATAAAATTTAAAAAATTGTCAAATTTCAATATCATCTCTACGGTGTCAACTGAAAACTTTAATCGACAGATTTCTACTTCAACAAAAGAATATCAAAAATATTAGGTCATCCCATAAGTTTCTGTCGAATTTTATAACCTAGACCAATATTTCCAACGCAGCCTCAAATTTGAGAAAAAAAATAAACGTAAATCACCTTCTCAATCCACAATTTTTTTCGATTTCTTTTAGTAAGATCATTATATCGTCGCTATAGAATTTCCTTCAACATTCATTATGTTATTTTGTGGTGCAAGATATCGTTCGAATTAAACGCAAAGATATAATAAGATTAATATATATATTTTTGATAAAGGTTACGTTGCATCGAAGCGCATTGGAAAAACTGAACTGTAACAATTGAATATCGGGCGCGAAGCCCAGCAGCGCCTCTACCGTGCTAGGCGGCGTTAATCGTGTTGCCAACCGGTTGCGGGCAGGGCTTCGCCTTTACCGACTGATTTACAACACATTAAAATATTTTTCGCGTTCGAACATATGGAATGACCTAATGTATTAAAAATCATACGTTGAATGCTATAACATTTTACCACAATACGTTCAATCGATAAAAAAAATCGATGCCAAAACCGTAACCGAAATCGATATCTTCGCTGATTTCGATTCTTCGCAACTGTTACAGTTTTTTTGAAACTGTTCGACGAGCCAGAATCGATATTATAACAGTTCTCGACCCCGGTTAGAACGTATCCGCAAAGTAGACGAAGACGAGGCCCGCGTTATTTGCTGGCACCGCTCGTCGGTCGGATGTAGAACGTTCTCTCAGTCGACGCGTTTGGTTTCAGATCAACTACACCACGGATTCCACTAATTCGGGTTTCCTTGGCAAATATATACGTGCAATTAATTAACCGACCGGTGAAGCTTCTGGGATCGCTTTTGCAGCGATCTATTAATTCGTGATTAAATCGTTCGCGAAATCGCGCGGAAACACCGCTATCCTTGGCCAACATTCCGTTACGCAGTTTGACTCGAGGCAACCGAGTAATTACAACCGATTCCCGTGATCGTGGAACTTCTTCTGGAAATCCTCATAATGGAAAAACAAACTTTCTTAAATGGATGTCTCGCGACTGTTTTATGAATCGATCCTGCTAATCTTGCACGGTTCGATTTCGACGTGGACAAAAGTACCTCTTCGGTCAATCGTGCATACTCTGTGACAATCAGAATTTTTTAAATGAAACGAAATGTGAGGATTGATGAGTTAAGGAGAAATTGAAGAATTTGGTGTTACGGAATAGTTGTTTCGTTTGTGGTTTTCTTTGTGATTTTGTGAAGTAATATTGAAAGTGAAATTCTCATTAATATCCCTCTCTTTGTCTCCGCCGGTAAATTAGGCCTCATGACATAACACGGAGAGAGCATGTGGACAGAAAAAGAGACAGATAAAAGAGGTTAGGTTTCTTAACCCTCATAAGGCGAAGGGGACATATTATCCCAAGAAACAAGACAAAAATTGCGTTACGAAAACTAGAGATTTATACGTCCATGTGCTTATGACATTCGCCTGTCAAATCACTGCATTTACAGATCTTTCTTTCAAGTGAACTTCGGTTCTCTTTGCAAATTTATAGAGTCACTTTGAGTAACTTTGCAAATTTATGGAGTAACTTTGAGTAACTTTGCAAATTTATAGAGTAACTTTGAGTAACTTTGAGTAACTTTGCAAATTTATAGAGTAACTTTGAGTAACTTTGCAAATTTATAGAATAACTTTGAGTAACCTTGCACTTTTGTAGAGTAACTTTGAGTAACTTTGCAAATTTATAGAATAACTTTGAGTAACTTTGCAAATTTATAGCGTAACTTTGAGTAACTTTGCAAATTTATAGAGTAACTCTGCAAATTTATAGAGTAACTCTGCAAATTTATAGAGTAACTTTGAGTAACTTTGCAAATTTATAGAATAACTTTGAGCAACCTTGCACTTTTGTAGAGTAACTTTGAGTGACTTTGCGAATTTATAGAATAACTTTGAGTAACTTTGAGTATAGAATAACTTTATAGAGTAAATTTTGCAAATTTATAGAGAAGCTTAATAAAAGCATCATAGAATTTTTTGCAATTTTTTGTTTCTTCTGTCTGAAAACACTCCTTAAAGGTTAACATATGGTTTCCTATTTTCTCGCATATCTTGAAAACCACAGTAAATACACAAAAATTATCACAACAAAAATTTAATGGATCTCATGCTCTCTGAAACTGTGCAATAAAATTGTTAAAAATTTAACTTACATTTTACCTGTATATGTAGTGTGAAGTAGCAACGAAGGAGAAATAACCTTGACCGACCAATACATTATCTCCTACTGTAGTTCTATAGAGGTAGGCAGCAACGTGATGGGCAAACCAGTTTGCTTCTCACCCTTGAACAATTCCCTCTGATCTCCGGACACACTGACCATCCTGGAAAGACCAAGTCCTTAGGATGGTGGTATGACACTTTGGCGAGAGAGTGGTCTCAACATAGGCTGTACTTGTGCTTCACAACGTGTCAATCACCACTGAGAGGCCAGAAGCCTGAATATGCGGCTTAACACGTTCCCTGCCACCGGGAAATCGTGCGGGACAGTGCTGTGAGCCACCAATTCGTAACTTTCATCCGGTCAATTTCATCGTGATTTTCGCGAGGATTTTCGCGGTGTTAGTCATCGATCACACAGGGAATGTATCAATTTTATTGTCGACACACTGTCGACGATGGCAGACGGGACAAGTTATTCTGTGTCGCATATGCTGTAGCAGTGATAGCAAACCTGTAACTCTAGTACGATCTTCGGGTCTTTTTTGACCCATCGTCTTCTTATTTTTTAAAAATAATTTTTACTGTTGTCAAATCTATATTCCCTTAACGTTATACGAAAAGTTTATTATCTAGGCTCATATCACGTGCTGGAAGCGAAAATTGTTGCACATAAGGTCTTTGGGTCTTTTTTGACCCAAGTGTACAGTCGAACGAAAGAATATACCAGTGAGGTGGGCGAAGAAACGCTGTCTCAATTTTTACATCTTAATTTATTAAGATCGGCTGTGACGATGAGTGTACAACTCACAGATGAGTACAATTTCTTACACATCGACGGTGGACAGGAAAAAACTGAACCGGAGTGTAGGTGTACGGTGTTTTCATATTGTTAGGACAGAAAGACAGAAGTAGAGATAGATAAAGCTGTGGAAACGGGAAATTTGTAGAAAACAGGGCCGTTCGTCCTCGTGCAAACCTGGATGCCACATGTGCGCTTCTTAGGTTACTCGAGGACGAAGGCAAGAATCTTAACACATCACCATCCGGAGACATAAAAATATGGCTTCTGTTGACTGCTAGTGAAATGCTGGAGACATATAAATAGCGTTTTGCACCCTGTGCCTTAAATGTCGGCGGTCTATAAATATGTTACAATATATGTATTACACTACCGGCCGAAAATTTGGAATCACCTGCCAATTTATATTAATATTGAATCTGCTACTAATTCTTTATTGATTTGAAATTGATGTTGCGGAGATCAATAGCACTTTACCTCGTTTCGATTGACTTGAATGATAAAAAATTCGTTGAAGAGTGATTATAAATGCTAACTTTCTTGGGGAATTTTTGTGCAACTTGCAATGCACAGTGATTCCAAACATTTGGCCGGTAGTGTACATATACTAAAAGTGACACTTCTTATCAACTGTCAAATAAAAAAAAAGTTATAACCATTTTCGTAAAGCGACGTAACGTAGTCGAAAACCTTAAAATGTGCGGGGCTACACGCATCAGTTTTCGCGCAAACAACCGTACAGTGTTAATCTTGCGAAGGCCAAAAGAACGGAAACTGAAAATCTGAAGAAGTTGGAAAAGAGAAAATTCGAGTAGAAGAATAGAAGGAGGTCTGGCCACACCAGTGTTAAACAGTATAGAATACCCAAGAAATCATCGAACAAAAATCCCTCGAAGCTAGTCCAGCTAAGCGTCACTGCAGTAAAATCGAAAACCTCGGGCAATCACAATACGCGAGAAAATCTCCACGTTTTCCACTTACCTCGATGCCGCAGCTAAAATTCAGCTTCTTCCGAAGCAGCGCTTATATCGCGCTTAATGTATGCATATGACATAAAGAGCCGGCGCAGAAATGGCCAGTCGCTGTGCAAACTCGCGTGCACGCGAACCTACGGACACGTTTGCACG